ACGCTTTTGAAAATACTACAATGAGTAGGATTTTTCATCTCATTATTTTTTTTGATATGCTCAATCCAACATGGTTGGAAAATATGCATAGTTTGTTGAGCTAATTTTGTTTAGTTTATGAATGTCGAGTTGAAGTCATCAATGACCATCATATTTAGTAAATTTTTTTTTGTAATGCAATTAATTTCTTCACATACTTTGAATTGAGACACAAAGATTATTAATCATTGTAGTTCTAGACTTTTGATTGTACAATTTATCTTTTTCTAGCTTAGAAAAATATGAAATGATTTATTTTGACAGCACTTATACGAGAATCAGTAAATACAAATGATAGTAAATTCAGAGTCCACACGAAGATCAGTGAGAGAGTAAACACAAATCGACAGAGATGTAATGTGGTTCATACTTTTGAAAATTATGTCCACCGCAAGGAATCACAGCAGGCTGTCTTTGTAACCTGCAAAGTGATAGTTACATTCAAGAGGCCCTGGGGTTATATAACCCCAAGGGCGGTGAGCTAGCCAGATGTTAATCCAAAATACACTAGTTAACCTCAACAATTTCAAAAATTTTATCCTTCATTTACTTGATCTTGCACTATTTACCGAGTTATTTTCAGTTGTTCAACCTTTAGCCATTTTTCGTTTTTAAATATTAATTGTGTCTCATTTGAAATGTTTGAATTAAATCCATTCGTTCACAATAGTTTGAAATACCATTTATGCATTAATATCAATCATTATCCTTATATACAATGACAAACATTTTCAACAAAATTAACACAAAATATAGTTTTTTTCAACAGCATTACATTTCTGGATATAATCTCATTTTAATTAACCAGATAGTTTGATCAATCACAAGATTCATATTTTTTGTTAGTCAAAATTTGAAAAATATCTTAAAATAGTAAATTATGTCATTCAAAATTTAAATTTAAATTTCAAAAAAAACTTAAATAATTATTTTTCATATATTTTTAATTTTCAAATTTGAATGTGAAATATGAATCAATAGGTTTAACATTTTTAAATTTGATCTAGATTTGGATCTAATGTCACAAGTTACATGTTTTACCAATACTATAGGCTAACTTCACAAGTCAAATATTTATTCTTTTAAATTTTGATCTTTGCTTTATTGAATTAGTATTATAAGAAATAAAAAATTAATTCTTATAGATTTTTTTTGCAATTTTCTAGATATTTATAGCTACATATATGTGGTTCAAATGAATTCTAAGTATTAAATACTGATGTAAGATTTTTTATAGTAAAATTAAATGGTTATTTATTCATTATTTTTAAAAATTTTGCTATTGAAGTTGAAAAATTTGTTACAAATTAAATTCAATCTTCAAGAATAATTATACATATTTATTTATTTATATAGCAAATTGATTAGATCCGTATGATCGAGACACTGTCTAAAATTTATTTTTCTATTAGCTTATGTTTATGCGACGAATAATCTTTTCTACAATTTAGGAGGAAAACTTATAATGAATAAAAGTCTTGAGATAAATATCTGTGCATTAGATCCTGGGTGTACGAAAAAGTGAGGAAATTAAGTATTCAAGTTCTATTAAGGCTATGGAGTCAATATGGTTTTCTCTTACAGTAAACGCTTGGAGGGGAGAGTGAACATTTCAAAACCTAAGCTGCCTTCATGACCCCATGCTATACGACAGGATGCGTTATTTCCTTTCAGATGTCCTGTGTCTGAGAAGTGACACATGGGACTGCGTTACATCATCCCGTAATGATGAAGGCCATGCATGATTCCCGTCGTGCCGCACCGGCGAGACTGTTCTTAGAACCGCAAGTCGTCCTCTCGGTGCAAGAACTAGTCTACATGCCTGCCCACCATGCGTCTCGGCCACACGAACGGGAATCGACGGTCAGAAGGGGCACATGGCATGCAGATCGACGTTCCCGCATCCGGGAGCATGGACGTTCCAGTGTCGAGGTCGAGGACTGGCACCCTCCCGCCCGACGAGTTATGCAGCACGCATCTACGGGCCGTAAGGCGGTGGTCAGAGGCTGTAGGTGACCGGCTGACAGGACAGGGGCGGTCTGTGTCCAGGGCTGCTGTCCACCTCGTCTGTCTCGTGGAGTCTCGTCTCCACCACCACCACCACGGCGCACACACAGCGTCTGCAGTTGGGGGCAAAGGCTGGAGAAGCCTGGCCTGGGCCCGAGACACTGTCATCAATGAGAAAACATTGTGGGTTTTAGGGGACGGGAATGGACACGAAACGAGGTCCGAGGTGCGGACTGAATCCCCCGAAATCCGGAGGTACCGTTCGATAATTGATTCATCGATTCATCGATCCCTCAAACTCTTTGTCTCCTTGTGTTACCTTCTCGAGGATGTGAAACCTTGGGCGCTATGTGCACCGTCTCGATCCTACCCAACAGCCCGTCAGAACGCAGTTAAATTTAGTAAACAAACACTTGGGCTCCAGGGCGAATTCTGGTACCGGTACTCTCACTCACCTGCTCGAGGAGCCGGGTTGGAGTCCAGGCTTCCCTTCTCCCCGTTGGCCTTTGTTTGGGCTCTGTGAAGTGCGACAAATCTCACGAAAGCTCCTCATCTCCACGAAGATATTTCTCGACCTTGTGTGATTCCATCACGTCGAATATCATTGAGTTTCTCCGAGAAATGCTGCTTGAAGGAAAGTTGTCCTAATCATTACATTCAAACGCTGGTGGGGCTTTCCCTTTTATTTTCCCAAGAAGGAGATCTTCTAATTGGATATTTTCTTCTTTAACTGCAGGGCTAGAATGGCCGGAATTTCCTCCATCGCTTTTAATGTCGCTTTTGAAGTGAAAAGTACGAAAGTTCTTCCAAGGGCTCTCAATTTCCCCAACGTGCTGACATGAAGACCCTTTATACAAATCGGGCAGTAGCTCAAGCTCTTCTGGGGGGCTTTTGGAGATCAAACTCATCTTAAATTATCATCCCGCTGAGATCAGCAATAGTTATTCGTCTTCTAGTTGACAAAACTCTGAATTATTTCTTCCTCAAAGATACATCAGAAAAAATATTGAAGCATATGTTTCTCTCTTATTCAATTTTATGTCTAAAATGAGTGACATTAAACCAACAAGGTGTTGAAAGTTTCATTTTTTACAATACAGTATGATAACTTCAAGACGACAATGAGAAAAGAAAGTTAAGTTATGTCATATCTAGTACCTCAAAAAATATACTATACCTGATTGTCTTTGATGGAAAATATGATATATATATTTTCGGAATACAAATAAAGGATAAACGATGATGTGTTCACGTCGAATACGATGGAAGAGAGTCCGAGTTTGTCAAATATCACTCACATCCAATCCACTTAGTCATTGCTCCCACTCGCCCCTTTTCCATTCCATGTGTTTAGAGTTCTCCGTCGATAGGTCGTGGACAAATTGTAGGGTTGGCCCTCCAGCATATATGGACATCCCCCATTTCAATGAATGAAGAACTCTACTGCATTTTGATCAGCATGCTCTCTTTCGAGATGACGCACCGAGATACTCGTCGCTGGATGATAACCATCGTCGTCCCTACAATGGTGATTTTAACGAGCCCATGCATACCACGTCGCCTATGAGAAATCGAGCGTAACCCTCTCTAACCATGTAACAATGTACAGTATGAGTTTGGTCAACGGAGGGTATGCTAGGGAGCTTAGGTCTCGTTAAGAGGGGGGGAATTATCACCTACGCAGCTGGACTGAATTTGGATAACATGTATACAGAGTCGTTGTGTCCATCAGAATACCTTCTGAAACCGAAGTCTTGGTTTGGGTCCATGGGAGGAAATCCTCTGTACTTGATGAATGGATGCTGAGAGCTCGAGACGAAAAGAATGGATCATCATTAAGGGGGGGACAACGAGCAGGCCCAGCTACGGCAAGGTATAACGGCTGTCCTAAAGGAACAGGGACCCGGTCCCGTTAGAGCGCTGGAGCCTAACTAAAAATAACAAACTCCACAAACGTATGTTCGGACCTGGACCAGCACCCACCAAAGTTAGAATGTATCTCCAAATCTATCTATCTGACGTCTGTGGGTACATCAGTACCGCATGACCGGATCCTCAGGTTCTCATGGCCTCCAGTCGACTCTCGGCTTACTATGCAGTGCATAGTAAGCCGGTAGAATGGGGTGCATAGTATGCACCCCATTCTACCGGGAGCTGGCGGTACTTGCTCCCGGTGGTCTCCGGAGCGATAATGGTCCAGTCTAGAGTCCAGTCTGCGAGAGATGAGACACGCATTCGACTTTTTCTGGTGTAAGGTTCGCAGAACTGAGAGTTTGACATTCCTCGGACCTTATACCTTGAGCTCGATGGAAGAATTGGAAAAGCACAAAGGCTGTAGCAGGAATGTGGACGATGGACGAGCGTTGCTTCGTAGATGATGGGTGTTCGTTGGAAGGGAATAATATTACTGTACTTGTGCACGTCCTTGATTCGCATCTTATCTGAGTTTTTATCCTCATCTTTTTGCGCGTTTTTCACCTTTTTCATTAAGCCGACATTTTGGCAGCAGGTGCCACTGTTTCTTTTCTCCGGTCCGAATTCGTTGACTCTATGTTTGCTCTATGTTCGCTTTAGAGTCTCTCTTGGCTCTTCTCCCTTCGTGTATTCCGTTGGCTGATTTGCGCCGACTATGTCCGATTTGGCTTCTTTTACGGGCTGCTTCTTACAACCTTCGAAGGCGAGGGTTGTAAGAATCTTAAAACCGAAACCGTTCCATAGCAGGAATGTCAAAACCGAACCTTCGGTTTTGACATTCCTCTTATGGGTTGGAAAGAGAAACCGCCATTATCTCGGCAGATGAGAAGTTTCCCATTTCCACCACGGCCGGTGACACCCGAGGGACAGGGCTTGTGCCTTTTCCGCCTTGTTCATTCTCAACGGAATAAAGCTATCCCGCCCTTTCGCTATGGGAATCGGGCAACTAGGCATGCATGGTGTATTTCCCCCGAGTATCAGCGATTTGTCTGTACAGTGAGGTAAAGTACAAGCTCTCGCACTCGTAGACATTCGAGGCAAGCGTGACAACGAAGGACACGTCATCGGCTATTTTGTGGCATGTATTCTAATTTCTACACCTTCTCCTCACATGCCTTAAGGGAAATTGCTTTTGCAAGTTGCTAAAGCAATTCCTCTTCTCTCTACCTCTGGCCTCATTGTTATAGCAAAGCTGGATATCGTTCACCAGCCCGTAGACGTGCTCTGTCTTTAGTGTTGGAGCGGCGTTTCTCTCACCTCTTTCACCCAGTATAAGAATCCAACATGCATTCCGTGTAGGAGACAGAGCAAGAGGAAGAGCAAACCCGGCGTCCTTGTATGGAAGACTCTGATGCTGCTGCGGTCGAAGACCTCCGTGAAGCTGAGCGAACATGAGCTCAGCAATGACAGCCATGAGGTCCGCGTTCTGGCAAGGAGTACTGTAAAAGCTTTGAATTTTGTCAAGGGAGATATTGACGATCTTTGGCACAAGGGCTGAACCGGGTCGGGTGGCCTCCGGTCCTGGACTCCTGCCTGATGTTCCTCAAACCGTCATGTAGCTGGCCTTGATCCTCGGAGACAGCCGCTCGAGAGCTGGGGCCTGGTTAGCAGATTCCGGGGCGATGATTACCTCTCGTATGTATTGATGACCCGGTGTAGACTCTAATCACGTATGACATTAACACCGTCCTTGGCTTTTAATTCTCCAAACTCGGTGGCTTTCGCCTTTTCGTTGGGAGTTAGTGACGAGCGTACTTCGTGCGGCTGGACCAATCTTTGCCTTCAAGTCTGTGATATCTCCCTGATTCCCTCGGGACCTTGAGGGATATCATAAACCCTACCATTGACATTGCTAATCGTACAGTGCTGTAGCTGGATTAGTTCGGTGCCTTAATTCTCCTTGTGTGTCCAATATGTGGCCTTCTGACTTTTTCATCACCCTGCCCTACCAAAATTTGGTGACCGGCCCCGGTCAGAATAAAGCTTACAGGTTCCACCTCGAACGACTAGGCATGGTGTGCAGAGGCGAGGTCCATAATATCAGCATCGATGTTCCAAATCGGAACGTAACGGTGTGGCAAAGTATGCGAATTATTCAGCCTGCTGGAAGTCATCAGATGCTCGTCAGCCGGAGCTGAATATTCTTCTGATGGAGAGGGAGCGAGTTTAGCGTAATACAGTGGGTGAGGTCGATTACGTAGAACATGTTGCAGGACATGCTGTCTGGTTCTGCGTTTATCTGGTCCTGGGTTCAGAGTGCGAGCCTGCCAGAACCGCGGGCCTAACAGAAATCCGTGAACCTCTCGTGGAGTTTGGACGGGTTCGGGCGGGGAATCATGGGGCTGATCGATTCAGGTAGCGCTCCACTTGAGGACTCGCAAGAGAATCCAAATGACAGACCAGACAGGCCTTCAACTCAGGGTCCCACATGGTGGTGGGGAGTCCGCATACAAAGCCCAAGCGAACTTGTGAAGGCGCGCTCTACGTGAATAAATGACCTGGATTTAGTCATGATCACGAGGATATCATGTCTCCTTCAGAAAGGGATGAGAAGAATATGTTGCGCGAGGATTGAAGGATAGCCCTAAATCGTGTCTGGAGAAAGCGAGAGAGCGTTCAAATCAGTGCAGAAGCTAGCGTTTAGCGCGTCTCTGGAGCTCGAGCCTTGAGCAGCAAGGCAGCCTTGACAAAAGTACAGAGAGCTGGATCCACGGCATCCACTTCTCTAATCATACATGTCGTGATAAGATAAGAGAAGAGGATCAATCAATAAACCAGTGTTAGGCAAGGGGGACAGATTCCATATGAAATCTTGTCTTGGTGCAGGGAGCCATACAACTCGATTCAATTCTCCCAAGCAATGTGTCGCAGTCACATGTGTGTCGCCGTCCAGGCCTCGCGTCAGAAGAATCAGAAGAGAACTGGAGAAGGTGCAAACAATTTCTGCAGAGCATGTACGGAGCCTCGCAGCTGCCTGCTGCTGGTAAAAGATGTGAGCTCGGAGAGAGAAGGCCGGCCTCGTCGTCGTTCAACACTTCTCACACTCGACGTGTACCATAACTACTCCACCTCACTGCCAGCCAAGCCTCGCCGATGCCTGCCAGGCGCCACGTAGGATCGGCCACCTCCGAGGGGAGGCAAGCCCGCAATCGTCCGATCTTCGATCGAGGTCGATCCAAGATCGGACGCCCGGGGCCGCATCCCATTTTCTCGGGATCGTCTTTTCGTTCGGGGCTCGGGGTGTTTAAGCAGGCCCGGATTCTGCATTATCTGCACAGGCCCTGAGTCAGAAGATTCGATACGAACCCCTCAGCGTCGACACTGCCTTCGCCCCCCGAACGTGATGAGCTCTCCCTCTCTCCTCTCTCTCTCTCTCTCTGTCTGTGTCTGGCGTCGAGCTGGTGTGCGGTGAAGCCTGAGATGAAGCTCGGGCTCGTACCACCCGATGTGCGACATCTACGAGCATGAATGGCCGGCAAAACGTAGGCCTCTCGCGGCAGGTGACGTCGGAGGCCTTTGTCGACCTTCCGTCCATGGCAGAAAAGCGCAATTCAGCCCCGCAGGAGAAAGTCTCGCGAGCGTCTGAGACTGCGGCAGTGCGGCCAGATTTGGAGGCAGTCGCAGCCGCAGCCACAGCCGGAGCTGCGCCAGAGAGCCAGTCCTCGCCCGTCGCATCGTCGCCTCTAATCGTTTCAAGGCCATGGCAGATTCCTTCTCTTGGTATTCTCGCTCCTTCGTCTCTCGAAGAAGAGGGGAGCGGTCGCACTCGTGCATGCTCTCCACGCGTCCTGCGGCTCTCCTGGGGCGGGGCAGGGCGGGGCGTTGCGCTGAGGAGTCGAGGGAAGTTTGGCCCCGGTCCATGCCCATACTCTGTACTGTAGGGGGGTGGCAAAATTCGAAGCTTTCAACCGAAGTCTATGACTCCATGCTTCCAGATCTGGCACCCGAACCGAAAGGACACCGCACGCTTGAACGGGAGTTTGTGTGTTTGAGGGACTGTCGCGTGTGGAATACTCCACACGCGAGACATTATTTGCCCATTTTGCCACGATTGCTTGCCTTTGTCCTTGACAGCTGCATGTTCTGTCCTAGGGTGCGCTCAATGAGCTTGTTATGGAATCTGGAACCCCCCACTACAGTCCTGTCATTTCCCGACTAATCCTTACAGAACATCATGTCACCCTACTCAGTCAACACTTCGCTCGCTGCTGTTTTCCATCCCCCCTACTCGCCTCCATGTTCTTCCCGCGGGTCTAATATATACCACCTAAATTTAGACCAAATGTGGGCGGTATGGGTTGGACTTGATACCTGGGAACCGACCAGGCATCCAGTTCTGCCTTCAGAATATGTCGAAGATCTCAGAGGCATTCCTACTCGGCAGCTCCCACACTCTTTTTCTGGTGCCAGTCCCGGGCAGGGGCAAGAAGACTGATCCGGGTCGGTTTGCTGATACCGTATGCTGTGCTGGGTAGACGACGAGATTTCTCGGCCAAGTCGGTAAAAGCTGACATTGTCACTTTGCATCGTCTAGACGCCTGTGCGAAGTATTTGATCATATTCGTGCATTAATGCTTTCCGCGAAGAAGCAATAAAATGTGCAATGTGTTGTGACTCCCGTAGGTCTTCGACATCTGATGCTGCAATCTCCTGCAGGCGGGGCGGTGAATTAATCCTACTATGATGACGTATCAGTCGTAAGTTTGTTGGAACCCAGTACATCGTACCCGCCAGCTGTGTGACATTGTCACTCGATTCATTCCAGCGACGGAGGAGGTAGCTAATCTCCGAGCGTCAAAGAACTCCATGTCTCCAGCCTTGGCTGCAAGCGAACAGCCATGGGTAAAGGTTGATGAGTTCAACTCGAGGTACTGATTTTGCCCGATGTACTCAAGCGAGAGGGGTAAAGAATCTCCCGCTTCTGGGGAATGGTTCCTTCTCCTTAGAAGACTCGACAAGCGAAGGTCGTCTTTCAGCAGAAGACTTTGATAGACAGTGCGCCAGAGGTCTGACGGTCAATTTCAAAAGATAGGTCAGAGACCTGATACTGATGCCAAGATTGTTTCCGGGTTGTTAAGATCCAGAGGGTCCCAGCAGTGCCAGCACCATCGCATTATTCGTCCTCAGTGCTTTCTTGTTGACTAAGTGTTGGTATTATCTCTCTGTCCGCCTCTCTCGTTGCTCTCCATCCCTCCCTCCATCCATGAATCCGTAGGTTCAAAGCCGACTTATTCCCGTTATCATGAACACTACTACGGTTTGTATGAGTCAGTTATCAGTTGACTGCCGTCAACGAAAATTCTTCCTCTCTGTTTGCAGAGCTTGAAACCCGAGATCCATTTCCTAACGGTGTGGACAGAATACTGTCAAGGTTAGGGCAATAGTCTGTTGAGTGTCAACGTTTCCCAAGTACGGGGACAGGCTGGTCTGTGCTGGTACTATGCTTCCGGTATGACCCTGTCACTCAAAATCTCGCAAGCTCAGCTTGGAACCAAGCCGAGACGCACTGAAGTCAGTACTTGCAATGTCCCCTGGAAATCGCAAGTCCGGCAGAAAACCGTGAAAAGGATGATACATGTCATGTGAATGGCATGACATAAAAGTCAAAATGCAAAATTCGCGCATCACAAAAACTGAAGGGAATTTCCTCATTAATCATATATATATATATATATATATATATATACATATGTTTGACTTCAGATAAAACTATTGTGCGACAAGAGGTTCTTCTTACATCCTTGTTTTGTTTTCCTGATCAAGAGACTCATTTCTCTTTCCTTGAAGCACTCACCTCCAGCTGATGATGTGCTTTGTATAATCAGTCAGTAACATACATATGCTTGTTGAAGGGCGCAACTAATTGGATATTCTGGGAACTTGACTTGCTGGATACATGCAGAATTTTACTTGGAATGTTCTCATTAAGCGAAGTTTGCTTAATTACATTTAATAAGTTTACTTCATCTTACCTCATATACCATTCATTTGACCTCAATATGTTTATAACCGGTCAGGCGTCGTTGCAAGCACCCTGGTCGATGCGTTTCAGGAATATGGGGGACACCACAGTAAAGCCCTGATACACGATTAGTTTCTACGGTTTTCTCAAGATTACAAGAGATACATTCGAGTTATTCCTGGTTTCCACGCCATTCATTCTCTCCTTAACAGTACATGTTAAGGAGGACATATGTTCGCATAGGACACTTCTAAATCACGACCATTGTGGTCAGGGGAAGAGCAATCAGGTCAAAGAGACCACCTTGGCACCTCGTCACAAAACACACAAGAAATTAACGAGATATGCTAGAGAGGACTGACGTTACAATCCAAGGTGTTAGGAGGCGAGGTTAAAATCTCGTATTTTTCTGAAAATATAGTCATGAACGAGTAAATATGGCAACCTAAGAGTTGTTGTTGTTGTCTCATGAGGCGATGCAGCCCGAATGCTATGACGCCAGACTTGAGAATGAAAGTCCTGGAACAAGAAGAAAGCAAAAGATAACGAGTAGAGAAAGAAGGTCGAATGAAAGGGGAAATAGAATACTTGGAACCCAAAGACAAAAGAGAAAGACAAGCAGGTTCCAAGAATGAGAACACTAGTGACGTATGAAGCATACCTTTCACATATGTTCAAAGACTAAGACAACCCGTAAAATCTCCTAAACATCGACCATCTTAAAAAACAAAAAAAACTTCAAACGGGAGCGGTATTCTACATATTTTCTTATTGTCAAGAAAAGTGGTGTAATGTTGGACCTAAGGTAATGAATGCTCAAAGGTTCCAAGTAGGGCAGACCTTTCTAAGGATTTACTTTGTTGCCCTTATGTTTCTCGTTTCTGGGCATTTACCCAGAAACTACTAGTTTCCTCAAATATATTCCATTTTCTACACCATGTGACTCAAGAACTTAAGGTCGACTTAAGTGTAAAAACGTGACACATTAGAGGGCGGGGTTCATTGCAAAGCAAAAGTCCAAAAGCAATATGTAACGAAGATGGGACAGAGTCAAGATCTCATCGTCATCTCGAGGAATGAGAGTTAAAGCTACACAAAGGATGGTTAAGTATTACAGAGTTACAAAAGATGCAAAAGGCTTGACGCAATATGGACAGCGGATGTGATTACAGCGGACTCGCCTTTGGAGCAAAGCAGGGATATACCAGTTTCCACAGCTACTTGACTGCAGGTGCGGGCTGTTTGTGTCCCTTCATTTACTATGATGACGAATCCTAGTCTCACTTCTGTCTGGACCTATACGTGGGACGGACGTCTTCTAGAATCTGATTGACATACTATACTGTATAAAATACTGGGAAGTAGAATAGGGTACCGAACTATATTTCCTGTACTCCCTTCTCGTACCAAGGGAGACATATGACTTGAATACGGTTTGAATACCATAAAGGACCATCCTGTTCACAACTGTATGTTCTGTTACGGCTTATCGTATTTTCTATTTGGGCTTACGATAGGCTGTACGTATTAAGTACCAAGTACGTTGAATCAATGGAGTAGACAATGTCAACACACTGCGCCATATTAACACCAATTCCACAGAAATACAATCAACGCGGTGAAAGTGGAAGATTTTAGTAATTTATTGCTCCTGCATGACTTGAATCTGATTGAACAGCATTCTGCCATATTGTTTAGACGTACAACGGTGGTGGAGCCAGTCGTATGCTCTCAGGACTTGATATACAGTCGGAGGATGAATAAGCTGTCCGTACCTGAATGGTGTTCTAATCTTTACTGACAATTTCTATGGACAAGTATCAATAGCTCTCACGTATATAATCTGTACGAGATCCAGACAAGCTGTGATAACAGTGAGAAGTTTGTTGCAATGATATCATGTCTTGGGGAAACATTAATTTGTACATCGATCTAGATTTGCGCCGTAAGAATCACCTTGTACTCTAGATCGCAGTACATGTATTTATCGCTTCTCTTTCACATTCAATCTCTCTCCATTCATGGGGTCTACACCTCTCAATCCATCTATGTAATGGGGAGTTTTTACTATCTTGTTTCAACTTTCTTCCCTTTTTTATCTGAAGGTTATTAATGCTACCGGCAATCATCCCTGCAAGGTCTGCTTCCAACCAAATACTGAGCTCGATTCTGCGTCTCCAATTTTGACTGCAAACGAAGACAACCATTTGAAAAATTGAAGAATACTAAACTACCGTACATTAATTTATACCCACAAATTCTTGTTGCAAATTAAAAGTAGTACTCTTACCAGGACTTTTTGATACAGTTTAAGTACAGTATCGAAACCGATCGGTTATACATAGTATTCATCATGAATACGATACAGTAGTGTGCATTTCGAGTGGTGAGATCCAGCATATGGCGACGAAAGCTCGTGATCGGTACTTACAGAAGCTTTTCTTCCGAGGGCTATAACTAGAAGCATATTCTTATCACTTCGTCCTCATGACCACTGATCTGCCACTAATCTCTGGGGAGACTTTTTGCCTTAATGAAAGCGGGCTTGAGTATGAGCAAGGCAACCTTGACCACCAGTACATAGCTGGATCCACGGTATCCACTTGTCTAATCATGCATGCCTTGATCAGAAAGTGGATTAATTAAGCAGTATTAATCAAGGGGGGACAGATTCCATGTGAAATCTTGTCTTGTTGCAGGGAGCCACACAACTCGATTCAACTCTTCAAGCAATGTGTCGCAGTCACATGTGTGTCGCCGTTCAGACCTCACGTCAGAAGAATCAGAGGAGAACCGGAGAAGGTGCAAACATTTTGCAGAGGATGTACCTTGCTACCGATTGTAAGTGTGGGAACTTTGTCGCTTTGATCTGCCACTGGACATATCTAGTACCTCCAGGCTATCGTAGGTCTGTAATCTATGTTCCAGGTCGGCAGCAAAAGTCGATAGCACTGCGTCAGTCAGTCATATTGTTCAGCGTTTACATACACGAAATGCCAGCTAGGAACAACGTGGAAAATCCCTCTCCTGCCACGTCGCCATCCGCTTGACTTCCTCTCGTATGTTGGTTTCCATTTCATCGCTCGACATCGACGCTGCCTCTGGCTGGCCGTCTGGCCAAAACTACCATCATGTAGAGCTTATCTTACCGATCTTGAGAAACACGCTCGCCCGAAAAGCTTTCTCGCGTTGCTTCATCTGATTTTCATCGTCACCTCGATGTTTCTCTCCACCCGTCTTTTCGCAAGCAAGCAGGGACTCTTTTTGGCTAAATTATGTTGCACCTAACAGCAGCGAAAATGTAGTAACCAATGCTCTTGCGCAGAATTGCGAGTCTGGGACATTGATGTACAGCAAAGGATGCCAGATGAAAGGCTTGTAACTAAACATTTACGTAAAGAACTAATGTCGATGTACCGGTATGTAGGCTGCGTGTGGAATCATTATTCTGCTGTATTTTCATAAATCTTCTTCGGAGAGCGAACAGGCAGCTCCAAATTCTTGACTAGTGTCGCGTTTGGGCACGACGATGAAAATCTGAGGGTTTAGGGTTACTGTACTCCCATCACGCCCGACATCAAAGATGTCAGAAATTTCTAAACCCCACTTGCATCACAATGGATGATATGTCGAACATAATCTGAAGATATACTTTACACAGTTTGATCATATATATAATAAAATTCCACCCGAATCATTAACTAATATGATTAATTTATAAATAAATTGCAGATCCTGCTGTTCATTTTCTCGGAAGATAGTCTCTCACGCACTCCTCAAAATTTCACTTTAACGTTCTCTAGCTGTTGGGTTTATCATCCACTGTTTGTAAACATGCAGAGGTCGCCCTCCCTGTCTACTATATTAAGGCGTGAATAGAGAGAATTATGCAATGTTTGTTGTGAAGACTTTGTTGACTTGGAGGACCCTTCTCGCTCACTATTTCCAGCAAGTCATCTCGAGGTGACTTGACTCTTGAGACCGTATCTCAACTGAAAGTGACATGCATGAACAAAATCTAATGGGACTCTACTCGACAAGCGAAGTCGTCATAGTCAAGTTACTCGATGTATAACTGGGTGATGATCGCAGCTGGAAGATTTTTTTTATTCTTCTGGTTTTTCTTTTGAGAGATAAGTTTGGACGAATGCAAAACCTAGGTCTACCGCCAGGAAGACCGCCGTGAAGAAAGGTGCTAACCACCCGTCGGAGGTAGCCCAAAGTTGAAGGAAGGAGAACGCCAGATCAGGATCAGGAGGAGAAGGAGAACTAGGAGTTGGTGTATCTACTGTACTGCTGTCTGTATCCTGTAGAGATAACATGCAGAAAAGGTGGACTGAAATTTCAAATTGCAAGAGAATATATTTGCTCAAGGCTCGAAAATGGTCCGAACACTTTTTGCTTATATCGATTTGGCATCTGACATGTAGGTGAAAGTTCTCCATCATTACTGCATTTATTGCTGTCAAATCGTATCGGATTGAGATGTGTATGTTGAATGTTAGATAGAAGGAAGTGTTGTTCATCCCGAACACCGCCGAGGACGCATTCTCTACGTTAGTGGAACATCTTCCCCTTTTTTCCTTTTAACTCAGGCGACTTAACAAAATGACTTTCATGTACACTGTCAATTTGTATATAAAAGCTGAACGTAGAAAGGTCCCAAACTGGGAAATAAGATTTATGGAGATGTTAATCTGTTTATTCTCATTCAGATGTGATCATGATATTTCATAAAATTTGACACAATCTCAAGAGGAAGATTTGGCGGGGTGTGTGAAATCAACACATTCCGAATCTGATAATACAGTATAGTGTTTAGATATACTTACCTTCTCATGATAAATGGATGTCGCCAATATGTAAATACTATGGCATTTCATGTTGTGATAGAAGGCCTATTATACTGTCTCGTTATGTATAATCTTATCAAAGAGCATATTGTCCAAATTATTTTATCTTATATACACATCTTATACTGAACTTTTGAAACCAAGCAAGGGGATTTTCTGGAGCAGAGTTTAACTTAAGGACTTTTGTTCTTAACAAATTACACAAAATAAATCACTGTAAGTCTTTGATATTGTTCTCTGTTATTACTATTTACCTTCTTGCCTTGCTAATTTGCAACCTCAAGGTAGACATATCATGAGTGTATTCTGAGCATGCAATGACTGTACTACTACGCATGGAGTCGTGTATATATAAAAATAGTATAACATGCCATTTCCCGAGAAGGTTGTATACAGCTGATGTTTCTTCCATTCGAAACATGGCACTATTTTTTATCTATTTTCAATTCTCTCACGATTGTTTCGCATGAGAACATTTGTAGAATTGGGATTCGAAATGAGGGCCAAGGACGAGGAATCCTTAGCATCTTCAGTCTAAAAAGGGAACCTCTCCAACTTGAAGGGAACTAATATTGACTCAGCTTTTCTTAGCAGAGTTTTCATGAGAAGTTCGTATGTGGAGATGTTATTATCTTCTTATTTGAAAATCGGATATTCATATTCCATCTATATCCCGCAAAAATAAGCCAAAAGATACATCATTACTTGCTCTAGGCAGCTTCTCGGTAATCTCTTCCATCCATCTTGTTGCAAACTTGGATTCTTCTGTAAAAAAGACTCTACAGTCTAAAAAGGGAACCTCTCGAACTTGAAAGAACTGATATTCCTTGACTAAGAACTGATATTCCTTGACTGTACTTCTCAGTTTCATTTGGTCTTATGACCTTATGCATTATGAGCTCCTTTTCTACGCTGGACTGAAGAGCCTTCTCAAAAAAGATACACACACTTCGAGGTTATGAATTGGATTCCGCCCAGAGGCAGCCGGCTTGCCGCGCTCATTGCTCGATCGATCTCAGTTCCTTCGGGGTGGATATGCCTTGATTCTCTTTGCTACCTCCGACCCTTCTAGACCTTCTTCCAGTTCCTGCCTTGTTTCGATATGGCAAAAGCTGGATGAACCGACCTAGAAGGTGCACCACAACCATCGCCAAATTGTTTTTCTCCTATCGAAGCTGCCCCTGGCTGGAGAAGCTACCTTACACTTTTCAGAATGAGGCGACCACCCTCTGTGTAAGAGAATCTAGGAAGTCCCTGCCCTGTTGTGCTGTTACAAAGTCACATTTCATTAAATCTACAGAAAGTTATAGTCAACCTTCAAATTGTTTCGATAGATAATCCTAACAAGGGGTACTATCTCCCATTGTTAATTTGAACAGAATAATATGTATGCATGTGACACATAGCTAGAATTCATGTAGGGATGGAATCCATGGAGTATGAAGTCGGTGGGTATAAGTTGTCGAAATATGAAGCATCTCGTTTCCCAGTTCTCAGCTGAGGTGTAATATCTGTTGGAGGACCTTGATTATAAAAGACCTTGATATTCATGTTCCGCAGCATAAATCTAATTTTTGGGCTCTATGGAGAGGACGCTAGTTCTTCGAACAACGATAAGGGGAAGACAACAAGGAAGATTTAAAACATGCACTGTGTATCATCTAGGCCTTTATTTATACTCAAACCGCATGGATAATCTGAAACAGATCCTTCCTACTAAATGGTGTTGATCAAAATCTGAGTTCCGTCTGTGACAAATCCTGTCCATCAATCAAGATGGGAAAAATGGGCAAAAATATAGGTTATTATCAAAATTAAAAAATATTTACCTGCTTGAGAGTAAGTATTTTATGAGGATAAGAGTTTGGGTACCTATTTCGGCGTTAATCGAAAAACATTCCTCACTCATTCATAGAGTATATATTCTGTTGAACTGAAAGTTTTACGACTGTGTTCGTAAACTTGAGATAGCAAACGAAACCTCCAAAACGAAAGGGTTGCAGGTGCACAATATTCGTCAGATGAACAAGTCCGTTGAGCTCCGATGGGACTATGGTGGTTGTTGAAGGGAGGCAAGAGAGAGGAAGAAACTAATCATGAACTTACAGAAACACTAAATCCTAGGTATTATAATGACAATTAGTTATGTCAATAAGACGCAGGAAATCCCATGTCAGAACTTGTATGTCTAGAGTTTAGATAATCAATTAGTATTGATCACAACTGGTGTCAAGGTACGGGATAATGCAATGCACATGTTGCTCAGGAAAAAAATTAAGGTCTGAACCAGATGAGCTAATCATGCAAATTTGTGCATGATTTGCATGGGCAAATATGCCTTGATTGTACACCCCGCAGGTTTGAATATCACACCCGTGATCGGTGGAGGATCTCGGCTTTAGCGACTTGCGTAACCATAATGTGTGCATGATAGTACCGGATAAGACGTTTGCGAGATGAGAGGGCTGGCAATTTCACTTCCCGTAAGCTTCATTACGTGAGATAACATGCACGATGGTACAATTAGGGTAATGTGCCGCAAATGTCATGTCTGAAATTTCATCACGTGGATGTAGGACTAGAATTTGGGACCACTCTGACATGCTATCATCCTCCGCTGAGCCACTCCTAACTAAGGACCAGACACTGTCTGTAATGTTTCGTGAGCTGCCCGGCCCTGCCCCTACCCTTCTCTGTGTTCCAACCATCGCCTCTCTCGGCTCACTAGTGCCTTCGATACGGCGACTGCCACGAGCGCCCGACGACGACAATGAGCGGCGGCGGCAGGGCCGAGAGGGCCTATATAGTCACCCTCCCTAAATCGAGGTCACATAGTTTTCCTCTTCTGGTCCTCTTCAAGTCTCATCTTGTCTGGAAAAAGCGGCCGAGCAGATCTCTCTGCGGGGTGACGAGGAGAGAGCATGGTGCTGCTGCTGAGCAGTCTTACATACTGAGAGAGAGAGAGAGAGTCAAGAGAGAAGGTTGTCGAGGTTTTGGGCACTCATGCGTTGAGTTTTGAGTTTTGACCTCTCAAGCGTTGAGTATAATTTCGTCTCGGAGCGCAGTTTCTCTGGTGTATCTCCATTGTCAGCTGCTCCGCCAGTGTCAAAGCTACCGGCCGGCCAGATCATTCCAGACTGCATCGCTGCTGCCGGGGTGGGTGTTGGAGAGTCGGTTGGCATTCGAAAGTCGAGCCAAGAGTTTGAATTCTGAGTGTGCCGTCGTCGGTTCGCCATTTTGCGGTTTCGTTCTGCATCTTATCCTTCTTCATCGTGTCTGTGTTGTGGAGTTCTGTTCTCAGACTTTTCAAAGGCCGCCGCTCAGCTTGTGCTTGTGCTTGCAACTGGGTCGCTTCCACGGGTCCGCAGTAATTGCTGGAATTCTGCGAGATTTTGATTCTAGCTTGTGATTGCCGGGAGAAGTTGACTTCAGACCCTTGCGAAGACATAGCAGCCATGTCTCATGATGATAACAAACGAGGCCGCCTTCCTCGCCGAGGAGATGTGAAGGCACAGATTGCAACCAACATCGTCAATTCCATTGCCGGGATCATAAAGACTCATCGATCCCGCAGCGCTTCTCCAGCGACCCCACCGCTGGAGTCCGAGGAGAATGTTTGGCCTGCCGACCCTGTTTCTGGCTCGTTGCTCTCGCCGCTCTTGGTGAAGAACCAACAATGACATGTGTCCACACGACAACTTGATGATGCTGATGAAGATGCGGGCACCTGGACCTGCCGCAAGGAAGAACGTCGAAGCTAGGATCCTGCTGTTCGTGTGCTGGACGAGATTATCCACTGACGACCTCCAAAAAAATAGACTATTCATTTCGTGGAGGGTCTCTTTCTGCACAAAAGATTTGCCTGCAGATTAGTGAATTCGATGAAGGAAATGATTGACAGAATTTTCCATTTGGAGTTGTCCATAACTATCTCTCGTTGTAGATTTGTCATATGTGTACGTGTAGATTGTGTGTAAATGGGAAGGTAGAGGGGACTTCTGATTATGTGACATTGTATATTGACACTCTTCTCTCTAATAAAGAGTTCCAAGTAACCTTGGGCTTTAAAAAGTGGCCGCTCGTATCCTGCGATCTCGATGCTTTTTTCTTGGACTAGGTCCATCAAGCTGGTTCATACGTAAAGTATGGTCTGGTGATCAAGAGTCTCATCAAGCTCAGTCTCCAGATTCTCCATAGAGCTAGTGCTTGCTTGAGCCATTCCTCATACATATCAGACCTGTCTGATTCAAAGGTTGTTCCATATCACTTTCGGTAGCGTAGATTATTTGCTTGGATGATCTGGGAGTGTAATTGATCCCTTTGAACGTGAAAAACGTCAGCTCGTGTGGCCTTCGTAGAAACTGTCGGCTTCTGTGCATTGCTCGAGGTCACGGAGGGTGTAAGGATTTTAACTGCTCACATCAGCCCTCACACAATTGTTGGTTATACAGGTTGTTCATTATACTGGTTCATGCTTGAATTATCGGTTCGAAATCAAATAGAATATTGCCTGCAGTCTGACCCTGTTCCTACCATCGAAGGTCTTGATGCAGCCGGTGGGTGCAACCTTGCAGGTCAGTTCTTTGCAAAGGTCATTGATCTCTTCGTCTTTGATAAAATCAGGCGGCAGAGTTGATGTCATTGTGGCGAGGCCCGATCATTGTGGTTGTCTGTTCGATTAGAACGAGGCATCAATCGCCAACCACATTAGTTCTTTCACGCGGTAGGGTAGCGCAGGACATCGATCATTCCATTGTGCGTGGTAGTCGAAGATTTCTAATTGTGGGCTGGTCCAGGTTGCCAAATTCTGGACAACTTGGACCAATCATCTTTCTTGCTCACTTCGCTCGCATCGTGAATTTCATCTGGTCTACGTACACACTCAAATTCTGGCACCAGGTGAGCAAATTAAGCTTGCCTAGTTTGTCAAGAGTCCCCAGAGGCGTTAACGCTGCGTGAGTAGCAGAGTGTAGACAGTCTGGCATGTGATAACTGCAAGGCAACGATACTTTTTAGCGTCGAATTGAGAATCTACTGCAGCCTGTTAAAGAGGATAACAATCGCGACGATCGTATCTGACCAAGATAATTCTGAGACCAGGTGCATCTCTGGTCCGAGATGGGCCAGAGTGTTGCGCCACGGTCCTAGGGATGAGCCAGTTTCGCTTCGGGGCATCTCAGACGAGGTCTGCGACGTCGAAATTCCAAAACCTTAGCCGGGGTTTTAGCGCATTTGCAAGCCCATCGGCACCCGGGCACTACCACGACGGGAGAGATCTGCCCGGCGCTGCGTGGTGGAGTAGCGACATTACAGTACAAGTGACTGGCTGGCCAAATCGAGGCCGGCCTTGAGCTACAGCCTGTTGCTCGATTCATGGCATTTGAATGAGCCATTCGGGCGGATGGATTGGGATCAGAGCAAGCAAGCAAGCAAATCCGTGGCCTTCAGCTCTCCGAATAGTTTGTCAATGTGGTGGGAGAAATGGCAGTGGTTGCGTCACGTATCGGGCCCTTCGGCTGCTGCAACTCTGCCGAGGTGGCCTTCCTGGCCACCCTTACGTGCAGCGGAGGTTAGTGGTTCCGATGCAGGACGGGACGGGACGGGAAGAGATGTCTGCCACGTGAATGAATCTCTTTTCTCGCCATGAGCTCTTACGAATTTACCCCACGGAAGGATGGAGCGGTCCGATCGCCCTGGAGGACACAGACCATGGGAGAGAGCAGGCGGCGCTTTTGCATGGGCAAAACATGGCACAGCCGTGGCATGCGCTTGTTCTCGATGCCGATTGGCCCGGGCGCTCGGAGGCTCGGGCGTTGTTGTTGTCGACCTAGAGATTTGTACTGCCTTGTCTTGCGCTTCTTGACACGGCACTGAGACACGAAGCCACTGGCGCGAGTCCCGAAATCCGAGTCCACTCGTTCATGCTACTTGAAGTACAACAACGCACCGCCTCGTCCAATCGCAGCGGCGCGACATGTCTCGCCGCGGCAGCGCCGTAAGCACGGAACGGAACGGCTCGGCTCCTGGCTGGGACAAGCGTTTTAACAGTTTCGGGTCGGTCTGTTCGATGCGCAATTTCCCAGCAGAAACATCCGAGCGCTGGTGCTGGTGTGCCCCTCCCCATCGATCCTTCACTTCCATCACTTCCATGCGTGCGTGCGCGAGCAGCGAGTGCCTCCCTCCCCGCCTGGTCTGCGACACCATGCAGCAGCTGCTTCTGCTAATTCATGGCTGCTAATTCAATCTGCAAGCCGCCGCGCTGCGATGCTCGAGCAATCCACCCCACCACCCGCATCAGTAGCCAGATTATGTAGGCCCAGTACGACGACGACATGATCGCTTCGATGCGGCCATGCCATGCCGTTCTTTTCTCGAGTCGGTTTTGCTCTGGGACCAAGGACAGTCCGGACCCCATCCCGCCACCACCTCCGCCAGGCTGCTGCGGCGGGCTCCATCAAGGCTCCAGGACCCCGGCCTGACCTCACTCATGCTCCCGCAGGCTCGAATGGCGAGCGTCGAGCCGAATGAATGTGCATAGATCGTTGTCGCTGTTGGGGCTCATGAGGACCCGATCGGGTCCCGCATACCGTTGAGTGTCGACGAGCGCGACGAGCTCCATCATTCCTCGAGGGCCCGGCTGCCGCCTCGCTGATTATGGCGCGCCCGGACAGGACAGCATGGGGCGCCTCGGCTGACTAGGATCGGCCCTCCGCATGCGACAAGCCGGGCGCCAGCCACGGGAGCCGGCCGTCGGCGTCCGTATGCACGTGATGCTCTCATTACTCGAGTCAACGGAAGCAGAACCTTCCGCCTGGGCAATCTCTGCACCCGCCGGATCTGCGGCCCCCTGACAACCCCGGTCCCTCGGACTCCGGAGGCCCGACCTTTGGCCCGACTCCAGTTTGGCGACTGCCAGCCCCGGGCCTCCTCTCCAGCGCCTCGCCTGCCCCCGACGCTTCCTTGCGTGTGGTACCCGATACCACGTAACCTGGTCGTCATTCCATCTTCTGTGCGACGCAGTTACGGTACTACCCGGTATGCGGAGGGTATTTGTATTTGTTTGTATTTCTCGGCGTACATATATTTGCCATTTCCCGTGTGACGTCATCGTTTCCCATTCCGTTCTGAACTATGATACCACCTAAACATAATAATTATAATACAGCTGAATAAAATGAAATGATATAAAATAGATGGCCATAAAAGAGGTGTACTGTTCAGGATCGAGTAGGAAAATTATTTGGTCTCTATATGGTGATGTGAAAATTATTGCGAGCGAGAAAAACCAGAGTGAGAGTGAGCATCTCTTCATATCCCCTCCCCTGGTTGCTGCAAATGATAATAAAAAATCAGAAAGAGCTCCGTCGGGAGACAGTGGGGAGGGAGATTCGAATCTACATGGTTGACCGAGGCTCGGCTCGAGTGAGAGACTTGCCAAATTTGAGACTGGAGCCTACTTCGGACCAGAGTATGGGAGTAGGAATGGACTCATTGGGTAGAGTTTGGAGGTGGAGGAGGAGCAGCAGCAGCGGCGGCATATTCCAACTCCTCCTCTGACAAGGGAAAGGAATGCATGGCCAGCGTACAGCCCAGCAGATGGTCCCAAGGACCCAAAAGCCAAGTTCGCGATTTCTCGCCACCGTAGGAACGTGAATCGGAGCCAAGCTCGCGATGAGTCTTCGGTCGACGCAGCGCCACGTCTGACATCGGCGTTTGGGGTCGGGGCCAATTTGTTCGTTCGTTTTCGTGGTCGCTCGATCTCGTCTCGCCCCGACTGGTCCGTCCCCTGGGCTGGGCCTGGCCCCCGGCCCGCCCCGCCCTCGCTCGGGCCCTGCCTGCCCTTTCCCGGACTCAGTGAGCGAGTAAGAAGCGAGGTTAGGTGTGCGTGCTCCCTCCCCTGCCTGCCTGCCTCTCGGCCCAAACCCCCGACCTCCTCCTCTGGCGAGAGTAAGACTGGGCTGGTGTGTGTGAGTGAGTGTGTGCTTGCGAGTTTGATCTGGTCTGGGATGTGATGCGTGCCGTGTTTAGATTTCGCGATTTGCGTGAAAAGAATGGTGACGCGAATTTCGTAAAACCTGAAACTTGAGGCGGAGTCGATCCTTCGGTGGGTTGGTGGTAGGTGGGGGACGCAGTTCATGTAGAATCGGGGCCAGGGTTCAGGCTGCGTCGTCTTCCAGTTAGGGCTGCTGAGGGACAGGAGGAGGAGGAGGGGACGGAACGAGGGTCGACGAGCAGAGTTCGAGCGAGTGAGACAGGAAAGGATAGAGAGTGTGTGCAAGAGTGTGAATTCGGAATATGGCAGCATCGCACCGGACGGCTGATATGGCGCTACCGCAGGCGGAGATCAATTGGGACAGGTGAGAAGTTCGTGTCCTTGCTCTGCTTGTTCTTTGAAGGTGATTCGGTAATTTTTTTGTGTTAATGTGACAGTTCTGCTGCCAAAACCCTGTGGTTTTGAAAATGTAGACCTAATGAAAGACTGATGGGACGTCCTATCTTGACATTTATGATTTGCATGTCAGTGTGATTTTTTTCGAAATTTGTTAGATGGTATTCTACAGAACCAGATCCACAGTATTATGTCATGCATGCCGCTGGAATTTTGGCTTGACATGCCCAATCTGCAATCAATCAGATTCTAAACCATTTGTGTTGTATGAGAGTTCAGTCCAAAGTGTCTGAGATCAACATCTGTTAGATGTTCATATGGGGTAAATCCACCCACACAAGAGTCTCCCCGGTTGTCGAAAATTTTCAGGTCTTATCTGTAAACGAGATCCATCTTTGTTTTTCCTTACAAGAATACTGCACTGCTGAGCATAACTCTGTTTTTTTAGAGAAATTGGATCTTCCACACCTTTTTCAATTTTGAAGATACTCTATCCTTATGTCTTTGACATAGTAATGTATCTCCAATTCAAGATTCTTACTTCCGCTTTCTCGTTTTGCGAAAAATGAGATGATCGTTTTAGCCGAACCAAAGTCTTCAATCTTTGAGATTTTGGTTGATGTATTTAAGCATACTAGTTAGTTGTGGGAGTCCGTATTTTATGCAGTATCTGTCCAACTAGCTCAATTCATACTCGAGGATTTTGGAATTCATCTATTTTCATGGAAATTGCCTCACAGAACTGTTGGTGATGATCATTTTAATTTTGTAGGGAATTGTCTTAGATTATTACTGACAAGATCATGTAAACAGTGACCTGTATATGGAGTTTGCATGAGTTTGAAAGACTAATCGCTTTTACTTTGATGGATGAGGACTGCCTGTCGTTCTTGCTGGTCACATCTCCTTCTATAGACATAAAGTAGAAACATTTATGTTGAGTTCTTTCTCTGGTACATGCTCTGTTTTCTTTTCCGATCTATGTTGATTCTAAGTTCATGTCCTTTCTGATATTTTTCCAGCAGGGTTTACAGTCAACCTGTCTTTGCAATTACTACGATCTGACATATAGAAGTCTGATTGTTTTTGAGAGCTCTTATACTTATTCTGAGTGCTGTGGAATAGATGATTCGAAAGTTGGGACAATTAACACTAGAATGTAACTAAGATATTCAAATTTAGACTACGTCCGCATGGTTCTACCAAAAGGTCGAGTGAAGAGTGTTGGATTCTTCTGATCACCTTCTCTCAACGAGAATTAGTCTGACAGGTTGGTGACTTTCTAAGATAGGATATTAAGCTTTTGGTGTGAAATCTTAACTTACTTAAAAGCTACAAACTTCCATTTGCAGCTTCCGTGAGTCGTTTCATGCAGAGAATCCTACATCAAATTGTCCACTAAGGAAGATTTGATTTTAAGGTTTGTTGAATAATAACAGACAGCTCATACACCGACTCCTTTTTGTCGGATTTTTGGTTTGCAGACTAGACAAGACAAAATTTTACCTCGTCGGAGCAGGTCTATTTTCTGGGATATCAGGAGCACTGTATCCTATATCTGTAATAAAGACAAGGCTGCAAGTTGTGCGGGCAGATTCTGTTCACAAAACAGCCGGATCAATTGTTAGACACATAGTTTCAACAGAAGGTATTAGAGGTTTGTACAGAGGATTTGGAATAGTGATCACTGGGGCTATCCCCAGCAGAATGGTTTTTATGACCAGTTTGGAAACTACCAAGGCTGCGACATTGAAGATTGCAGAGAGGATGGAACTACCTGAAGCCACAGCTGCGGCCGTGGCTAATGGTGCAGCGGGTCTCTTATCTTCAATGGCGTCCCAAACAGTCTTCGTCCCTCTGGATGTGGTGAGACTTTCTATGCCCTGGACATGATTTATCACTTCAGGTTCATCAAGAAGATGTAGTGGGCAATTGATTGAGAAGTGTTTGTTCTTAATCTAAATACATCCTTCAATGTGTTTCTATTTTTCGGAGCAACTCAACTGAATTTTTACTTCATTTAATATGTGATCAGATTGACGTGAAGTGGCTGTATTAGATAGTCAGATTGGTTTTGTTTTGTTTTGATTCTTTCCCTCTCTTAAGAGCTGGTTGGCGAGTGTCATTCCCAATCTGCTTTCCTCATTTTAATATATTGGAATAAATTCCTGATTTGTGAACGTCTACAGGTCAACTCTGATTTAAAATGACAAAAACTGCCCCTCGTTATTAAGAATATACCTTTCGTGCAGGTTAGTCAAAGATTAATGGTTCAAGGTACCGTTGGAACAACACACTACAATGGCAGTATGGATGCTGTGCGTCAAATTATAAAAGCCGATGGTATTCGAGGTCTCTACAGAGGGTTTGGAATGTCTGTCCTCACATATTCCCCTTCAAGCGCCGTTTGGTGGGCTGCTTACGGTTCCAGTCAACGATTGATATGGAGGTAACTTTCAGAACTTTTGTTTATATACAGTTGATTATGATTAGTTTTATACCAGATTGAGGTTCCATTGTTTTGTTCTGTATCCGTCGATTAGCACCACTCAGCCAGTCGCAAGGTCTATGCTATTCATGCGACAGACACATACTATGAGTACAGTGTATGCATCTAACGGTCTATATTAATCGAGCTGCGACGTGGGAATGCCATGTTAAATCCATCTTACTTTGAATGAATCACTTTTTTTATGTCTAAGATGGAGCGTTAATAATATATGTTGGGAGTCCACGTTGAGTTACATTTACTGGTGTATGAACATCAGTAGATATTACTAAAAATCTGGATGAGACTGCTTGATTGAAAACCTTTAAATGAATTTGAGTTAGTTAATCATCCAGTATATGCTATGTTTTCAATTATCCTTCATTCTAAATGTTCTATGTGAATGCTTTGTACAGAGGGCTTGGTTATGGATCAAGAGACGATGTAGAGCCACCCAGTCAGGCGAAAATGGTTCTAGTCCAGGCGAGTGGAGGCATAGCGGCTGGTGCCGTCTCCTCCATAGCTACGACACCAATGGACACCATCAAAACTCGACTCCAGGTATCAATGTACCACTGTGATTTGGATCCTTTGTACTTATGTTTTGTTATGATGATATGAGATCCTCGGCTTCTAAAATATTTACTCGAATTGTGTATTACCTACTAAGTATGGTGCGCTATATTGTCATATCGCATTCTTTGGCTCCATCAAGGTACGACGTACGGTATAGTTGCAGGATAAAGCCCTGCTGTTATGGAAGTGAGTTTGTGCTCGAGGCAAATTGATATCCCATGTTAGAAACTTGGATTATTTCAAAATCGTTGTTCACCTTTTATAATTTTAAGATATTGTCAATTTGTGCAGGTTTTGAAAAGTGAAACTGAAGGGACGCCTACTATCTCACAAACTGTGAAGCAGCTGATCAAGGAGAACGGTTGGAGAGGTTTCTATAAAGGACTGGTTCCTCGCTTTGTTAGCATGTCACTATGGGGCACCTCTATGATAACTAGTTACGAGTTTTTAAGTAAGATTCTTCCTGCTTCATACTTAATACTTTCTCTGTACATTTTTTATGCAGAATGCTTCCATACAATGTATGGAGTGTTCCGTATGCTGTAGTATAGCATTCAAGTCAGATTAAAGTAGTATTATTCGTTATGGAAAGATGCTAGACTGATGCAAGTTTGTAATTTCTGTCACAGAGCGAATGTCTGTCAAGCAAGAGGAGTAATTACGTGTACATATCGAAGCTCGGTCCCCGATTACTTTCAGATTGCAGAAATTCAGCACTGGTGGAGTCTCTTTTACATGGACTAGTCGTCAATCAGCAGAGGCTCTTTATGTTCTTCACTGATGATAGCTAGCCGACTGGTTAGATATTGTCCCTTTACCAATTGATTTTACTTCATTTAAACTGGTTTGCAGCCACGGATTTTGTCATCCTCTGAAGAAGAGCATATGTGTCAAAAGATGCTCGAGTAGAACCCATCGCAAAGCCAGTCACAGTAATTCATAGTGGCAGTACTGCACTGTTCCAGTTTGGTGGGCTGTTGGCTTCACAAACTTACAAGTCGGACATGCATTGATGAGGCTGTAATCAGTACTGGGATTTGAAGAGTTCCCAAAAGGGCACAGGGGAAAAGCTGCTACGTGACAATATACACCACCAAATTGGTAATGTACAATATATTCGATTCCGGCTTTGTCCAACCCGCGTCAGATCAAAAATTGGGACGCAAGAGTGTTTTAGTCATGTACTTTTGGTAATTTGACTTCGGTGTAAATAATGCATGAACGTTGATGGCGCTTTAATTTTCGCGTTCTTCTGTGTTAAGTGAATCACTAACTGAAGAACACATACTAGTTAGTAGTATCTGTAGATGTGGTTTACCCTTAGTGTATTTTTCTGATCCGCTTCTTTCTAGCAGATAACGTAAATAATCATTTTCGTGTTTTGGAAAGGCAGGCAAATGGGGTATTTTCAGCTTGATGATGTGCTGCATGTGTGAAGTTACAAATATTTCCCTCTGATGAACTGCGAAGAAAGAGCACCAACATCCTATGTTTCAAGCAGAGGTCAGTAGTCGCTTGGTTTTTGAATTTGACAAAGCTTTCTGATGGATGCAGAGGCGTGCTCGTGTTTTTTTTTCACAATCTTGGAGCAACCGATCGCATTTCTACATGTTCCATTTGTACCTTCTTACAGCCTACGTTCCATGAATAAGAATTGAGGAGTAAATGCCTCACTTATGGTGGATATTTTACTATTGCTTGAGTCCATTCCGAGGACAAGCATAATGTTCCATTGATCTGAAATGGATCATAATTTTGGGACAAACAGATATAGGAGTATGTGCAACAAACTAATACTGGGATGGAAGACAATTGCTGGTCTGAGATTTTCTTCTATGGATTTTCAAGATTCTTGCGCGTACCGGACAAACCGCTCTCTGGGAGATTTGAGAATATTATAAATCCTGCTGACTCAAACGGGTAAGCCATTGTTTGTTCTTGTGGACAATGTCAGGCTTCAATGATATCCGAGTCCAGCTGACCAATTTCAAGCCCCAATTCGACCAACACGAGGTACTGATGGATGGTAGTTGAATATGCTTCAAAATCACAAGAATGAGGGAGATGTGTAAGTTTCTATTGACAGACTCACCTATCTAACTATGATATATCTTCGTTTAGATAGTTGTAGCCGATTGGATGCCTGTCTTCTGTCCCCACTCATGATGTCAGTGCGCACTATTGAACGTCCAAATATATTAGATCCAGAAGGTGCGAGTTCAGTGCACATCTCTGCCAATGTATCTAGATCCCTTTGAAAGTTCTGTCAACTGTTTTTACCGTCACTTCTTGGTTTACAAGTCCACATTTCCATGGCGGAGTCTTTAGAGTTTAAGTACGTAGGGGCTATTTATCACAAACTTGGACCAGAAATTTTGAAGGCTTTCCGATCTAGGTTTACATAGAGCTAGTTTGAGAATTGCATATTGACAGTGGTCACTCGCCTCGACATCAGGAGCAAATGGATGTAAGCTTGGTCAAAGTTGTTCTCTTTACTGCGGGACGATAAAATCCGTATATAATCAGAGTGAGCCAGGATCCAGACTTCCAGCTAGTTTCTGAAGCTTGCGACTCGCTGAAAGATGCGTTCTGTGCCTTTGAAAACAACAAATGTGGACTCGTTGAATTGATTGCCTTCATGTTGAATTCGGCTCCACAATTCCTCATTGCGACTGGCTTAGGTTGCCAGTGACTCCTACCATACACCTACCGTATCTCTTCAACCCCAAGTTACTGTAAAATTGTCCATATATCGAGCGGGGAAGCACATCTGCGGATTAGAAGAGGAGATCGAGTGAGATGTGCAGAGCTCCAGCGAAGGGTTAGAAGCAGGGAATCTCTTAAATTCATGCATTAACCATTAGACGAGGGGACCACCTTCTGTGACGAAATCAACACTCATGATAATCGAGTTTCTGTCTCACCATCAATCAACGACTTGTGATTCGTAGTCAACTTAATCCACGGAAGTTGTATCCAAGATCTAAAAGTAATGATATACATGTCTGAAATTTTGGACGTTTCTGCAGTAAATGTGGATCCTTAACGTAAGGCCAATAGTACTGCATGGGTGTTCATTGTTAACTTCCAAACAATACTGATTAGGAATATAATACTGCAAACTATTGCTTTTGCTGCAGATATTTACTTTACTGTCCCGAATCCAACATAATTTGTATGACACAGATTGAGAAACATGAATTTCTTGGTTTTCATGACATCTGATGGAACGTCTTAGGTCTCCAGTTTTGTGTTCTTCAGTCAGTAATGTTCTTTCATTCCACTCTCGTGAAAGTCATAGTCTAGAAACGGTATTTTATATTGCTCAAAATGCTTTCAATCTTCCGACTTCAAAGTCAATTTCATGTAAGTACGCAAATCAGTGTATCACTGTGTAGTTCTTTCCCTGTGCTCCGAACCCAAATCAAGCGTTTATCAGAGTGTTCCTTTATGCTTTGAATAAATCACCCCTGGCATCTCCAGCACGAAAACAATTTGGATTGAAGAAGATCTTGCTAAGTCATAGATACCCGCCAGTTTAACAATCTTGAGAGGCTAAGAGGGCTACTTTTTTCAAGTTGCTCCACGTGCTCATGATATATACCATGTTCGTTGATTTCTCTTAGTGAACTTGAATTGGTCCTTTCGATTTCTGGTGTTGCACGTCTGACTCATTTTCCTTTATACCTATCTAAAGTAAAGTGCAATTAGAAAGGGGGACACAAATGTAGAAGTGCATGCCAGGGCCACTAGTATCCGCAAAGGTAAAGAGAATCAAACGAAAATATATGCATTTTCGTTGTTAGTAAACCAGAAGAGCTAAGACTTAAACGAATCAAGAGGTTATTGAAAATCCCGGCTATAAGATTTAATGGCAGAACCAAAAGTCAGCAATTTATACATAGCAAGACACAGTGATATTGCTGGCAGTCGTGATCGGGTTCATCTTATGGCGAGCGCTTCTGTTGGAAGATTTATCTTTGGGTGTCTTACATGATCATAAAGGTTCTAAGGATGACTGAGTTCAAGATCATTGTGAAGTGGATAACATCGGTAAACCATCACACAAAAAGCTATGGAAATCCCGTTGTGGGAAACTTGTTATAAAGCCATTGCTTATTCAAAAAGGAACTATTATTGCAGACTCTGGAAATTTTCGAAAGAGGTATGCCTCTTTTTTTAACTAAAATTTTGCTGTATTGAAGGCGGTCACTTTGTACCGTGAGAAAATTACTTGCTTCAAATTCTAAGAACTTGAAGCATTAGAAGAACATCTCAAGGGACTTTCATTTGTATAAATGTTTATTACCAATTTTCCTGCATAAATAAAATGAAAATGAAAGTGGGTATATTTTTAGTGCCCATTCTTGCCAAAAAGGTAAATTCTTGCTTTGTTTCTTAATATCGTACATCATTTTATAATGTAAATGGGATTTACTTTTTCTTATACCAAAGATGAAGATAGCTTTAGATTTATACCTGTAATTCTTTAGTAAATTTCTATGTAATTGATTTTCTCCTTTTGAACTTATTGAATTTTGAACATATTCTTCTTTCCCTCAATTGTAAATTTCATAAGGTTAAAAATCATGCAGTTGATTTGAGATGTGAAGATTACGTATGTATTAAAATTATCATTCCCTTTTTCACACTCGTGCATCTAAAACGAATTGCTTCCCGTGCAGTGTACAAAGTCTTGAGTTCTGCTAAAAACCCAGAACATACATAACATGTAGTTATGCTTTATGCTTAGTTAAGAAAACATCAGGTCAGCTATTTATTCCTCGAGCGAAAGAAGATCTTGCGATTGAGATCGCCCATCAAGGTATAACTCTAGACGCGATCGACATTCCAGCTTAGAGATTAGAACTATTACTATCTTATTTTGTTATGCTGGTAAACACGAAGCAGCAATCGGTTACAAGTCTCATGCATTTCGAAAAGCATCAGCTTTTCGAAAAGAGGCAAGTGCGGCAGGTATCGATCGATGGCTGTGTATAACAAACTGTATCATCGAAATTCTGCCGACCTGACAAAAGAAATGAAATCCGCGGTGAGTTATGGAGTCGAGTTATTCGGCAACGGAACACGTGAAGGCTGCAGCATTCAGAGAAGGAAAAACTGCCGAAGGCGATGGAAAGTTTCCAAAGATCGAGACGAAAGGAAGGAAAACCTCGAGACACGTTTCTTACAATCTCGTCGACGCCATAGCCTGATCGGATTCTGCGCGATCCATGGAACATGGAACAGGTCCAACTGCCTCGACACACCCTTGACACACCGTGCGGTCGGGGCAATTTATTGCCTCACTTTGCCGAGGCGGCCACTTCCTCCCAGGGTGGGCAAAGCACTTCCAAGCACTCACGAATGGGCGTTACCATAGCCAGGCATTACACGCTTGTGCTATGTGATGTATAGTCTGAAGACGATGCGTAGAAACCCAGGAGAGGTGCGTGTGTGTGTGTGACGATATTGTTGGCGCAGTATACACGACATCATCAGTGCTCGAGCACTGTTTCATCCAATTATTATTATTTACTCGTTTTTTGGACAGAGCTCCGTAGAGGAGGTCAGCTATAAGTTAATATATCATTACTAATCATCTATAAGTTACTTATGGATGATATACACTATAAGTTATGGTGTATATCATCTACCCTTCCATTTTGCTGTGAATGTCCACTTCTGTGTGCGATGCAGCCCAAACACTTTGACATTTATTTATTTATGTATTTATCTATTTATTTATTCCCTGATGTTATCCGTTTGGTGTTTTGCAATCTGTTCTGTCCTTTTATTTCTTAAGATTGTGGAAGAGAGGGATGAAATAAATAGCGGAAATATGGAGAAGGTCAAATCACAAGGAGAAGAAAAAAGTCGAATCTTTATACCTAAGAAAGGCAAGAGGTGTGGATAAGCAACTTTGGGATGAAGTCGAGTATAGCTAACTTCTCGGGGGGTGTTTTCTGGTTTGCTTTCTTCTCTTCGACCATCCTCCAAGCATCCACGTTACACTCTTATTCGTGAGAAGACATCGGTTGTATAAACTACTTTGACATATTTCTTCGAATCAAGAAAAGAACATGAGGAAAGGAATCCCGTCTTTATCCCGAAATATGTGGACGGTTTGGTATTGCATTCAAGTGATCATGAGATGATGCCAGAAATATCAGACGTTTATCACTCAAGTATACCCACCAATATTTTAACAAGTGGATGTTGGTGGTGGTGAATTTTCGACATAAACAATCGCACGCCAGGCCGTCGCAAATGAGTGCACAGACTCTGTAGAGAATTTTTCCTAAATGCGGCAGTCTGAGCCTTGGGTTGAATCTAGCCTCGAAGAACCGTACGAGAATGAACTTCAATGAACACTTCATTGAGTACTTCACGCCCTTTCAGACCACATACTCGAGTTTTCATGGAACTCATAACCGGGGCTTGAGTAACTTCAACGGTGTTGACCCTTTTTGCTCTCGTGCTTCAAATCCTGTGAAGACTCTGACATGTGTTCATGTGATATGCTGTGAGGCTCGGATCATATGGGCAAGGCTGTCATATCTCGAGATCTCATCCCTGTCATAATTCTCTTGACGTCAGACAGGAGATTCATACCTCCAGCATTGTAGCAATAAATTTCTGTTCGACGTATAGAATTGTTTATCTCTTCAAGCTTTTACGCGCCTTCAACGATGAACCATCTTCAGCATCACGCCTCCATAATTTAAACGAGTGGCTTCAGAGTAGTAAGTCGCATTAGTCTAATGTTCAATGAAAAAAATGAACATGGGTCCCATCTTTCCAGCTACACTTTGACACGATATTTATTTCACACTCCCTTATTTTCACGAGCTATCCTACGTCATAACACTTGAGAAATATCAGCAACAAAAAACATATCTATGTACTACATACTGGTAGTAACAGGTAGTTCATAGATATAGATAGACAATAACCTAAATCACAATGACCTTGGAACAACATCCGTTTGGTTCAATCCAGTTGTCAAATCTATGACGGACTTAGTACAGGAAATGGAAAATTATTTTTTAAAAATATTCCAAAAATTTGCTACCTATGGATAAAACTGCTCACTGAGTTACATTTTCAAGATTATGTTTTTTAACCTACACTTTACAATCATAATTAAAATAATGAAATTCTCTTTTTTTTCAATGGCATTTTGTTATATCAGCTTAGAAATAATTTTTCTTTCAAACTGTCAAAATTGAAAAATCTATTATTATTATTATTATTATGAATAATAAATTACAAAAATATATATAATTTACTTGATAAGCTATAAGCTGGATTGAAAAAAAAATCTGAATGAACACCCTATATTGGAAAATTATTTTAGTACATTTTATATTTTGTGCTTTGTAGTGTATATTTGGATGTTCATAAATATTGATATGCAATTTTGAATGCTAATGTCGTTTATTAAGATGTTTGAAAATATTATATTTGGAAAACAAATTCTTGTTTATGTTCATAATGAGCTATTGAGAAGCTATTAGAAAAAACTCAAAGACAGTTAGCCAAGATATCATAATTTTACAATCAAAATCGCATGTATTAAACAAAACTAAGGTTTTTTTGTGTCAATTTAAACGTTTTTATCTGATCCAATTAAATAATTTTGTATAAGTATTGATCAATTTCAAATACTATGACGTTGAAGTTGAAAATTCAATTTTTTTACAAAAAAAATTTCATTGAATTTTAAAAGCTTTCATAGCCAATATCAAGATATAAAACCTAAAACAATAGATTAAATTAAATTTTAGAATAGACGAATAAAATTAGTCAAAGATGTTAAAAAATAGTTTTTACATCAATTTTAGGAAACATAAATCGAATTAATTCTATTTTTAATTTTTTTTTCAAACTTTACCGGTTTGAATCTATTATCATTCACAAAGGCATACAGTGTAGACGGAAATTTATATATCATATTAATTGCTG